AAAATAAATAAATAAAAATAAATTAATTCCTATTACTAGGATATTGTGTTAAATGTTCAAAATCATGTTAAGTATTTTATTTTAGTTTCTGAACTCTGTCCCACATTTACAGTTTTAGTCTACCAAATTTAAACTCAATTGCAAGTTTGTTTCATTTCAGTTAGTAAACAAATTTGTGATATTTTTTGTCCTTTTTCAATTTATAGTTGATGTGCAAAAGTTTGGGGTAAACTACATAGATTGTTTAGCAATATGCTTTTATCCATAGTGTCCTTGGAAATTGAGGATTGGAGGTACAATATAACAGAAGATACACCACATTATTAAACAGGTTGAAGTTGAAAAAAGGCCATGTAAAAACTATTGAGTCACTGAAAGATCTGATATGATAAAATCATGATTGTATGCAAATTTCTAAGTAGGAATTTTACCATCTTATTAACATGAGTATAAGGTGACTTGGCAAGTCATTGTAGTTGAATATTAGCTTGCTTTTTTTTTTTTTTTTTTTTTTTTTTTTTTTACACTAAAATCATGGCTATAAATTCTGTTAAAACAAAGATGAAGATTGTGAATTTGAAGAGAAAGATGACTCAATGAGAGTCAGGCAGCTGGGAATTTCCAGAAACAGTGTTTAAACCATCCAAAAAACGTTTACTACTAACAGAAGTGATTTAAGTGCCAAGAAAACTGGACAACTACAAATAATTAGACAAGAGAGATGAAAGATTACCATGATTTTGGGAATAAATTTAAAAAATTAATTTTTTTCTTTCTTTATTTTTACATCTGTTAAATTGTGAGAGTCCCAGTAAGTAATCCAAAATTAACAGCCAGACAAGTGAAAAGAAGCGAATGCAGTTTTAACAGTGAGGTTTCAGTTAATACAGTATACAGTGTATTACAAAAAACAAGTAGAACAAATGTATAGCAGAAAAAAAACATTATTAAACATAAAACAGCAGAATAGAAGATTGAAATGGTCAAAATACCATTCAACATAGAGATGCTGAAAAGTGGCAAAGAGTAATTATCAGTGTTCATTGCAGAGGGATATGTGAGAAGATCAATGGGAGAAAGAAACAATGAAAGTTGCATCATAAAGATGGTAAAATTTGGTGTTGGACAAGTAATGGTATGGGGCTGCATCAAAAATGATAGTAGAAACCTAAACAGTGAAAACTATTGGTTTACTACAGTCTAATCTTCTGACAGACTATGAAAATGGGTAATTTTTTCAGTATGATGATGCTCTTTGCCATACATCACGTACAACAAAAAAGTTTCTTGTGGATAAAGATGTTCAACCTTTTGGAAGACTAGACAATGCAGTCTCGGTATAATTGAACCATTGTGGTGGGAACTGAAGAAACAACTGCTCCAACAAAAACTATGCAATCTCCAAAAATTTGAGGATTACTACGAACAAAGTGAGGGGGAATTCCCATTGAAAAAACCCTGGATTATATTTCATTCAATTCCACTCTCGAATTAGGCAATTATTTGGGCTAAAGGCCGCAACCATTAATTACTAACTTCATATGTTGACGTTTCATATTTTTTTGTAATAATAAAGATCACTTTTTGTTAAAAAAGACAAAAAACAATCCTCTTTAACTTAATGAGCTGTAAGGTAAAAGTTTCACTGTTGGCTCAGTATTTTTGCATGGGCTTTTTTCAGCATCACTATGCTTATGATGCTCTATTATAAACCATTCAGCATTAATGAAAATGCAGTAACTCATTATCTGACTCTCAAAGATCATAAAATGGACTGAGAAAAGCATACTGGTAATCAGTCTCAGATTTGGGGTAAAATTAACAAAACTAATTAATTTACCAAGGTGGCCCCAAAATGTTTGCACACCAGTTTATATGTTAATGTACTTATCAGAAATAAAAATTGTTGAATTTTACCATGGGATTTTTAAAATAAATTTCCTCCTTCATGTTAACATCTGTTTGTATTTCTCAAGTGAATGAAAGAATGCTTTTATTACTGAGCATAGTAGGTTTTATTTGCAAAAAGTAATTTAAATTGTACTTTTAAGCTACTCTTTATGGCCCAATGATTTATAAAAGCTTAAAAGTTGCCATTTTTATTTATTTGCTTTCCACAATAAGTTTATAGACATCAAACTTGTTCAACATATATAACTTCAATAATATCTATCAAGGGATTTTTTTCTTTTATTTATTTCATGCTATTCTCAAGCAGTAACTGTTTTATCTTGATTTGAAATTTTTTTTTTTTTTTACAAAACCTACCATTTTTGTTACCGTAAGATAGGAAGCTTCTTACTTTTGATTGACATTACCTGTCTCTGCACAGGGAAAAGATTTTAATGTAGTCATCATTTGTAAAATGTATAAAAGTAGAACTGTGCATTAGATATCTACCCATGTGTGATTTATTTGTTTCTTTGAATACATTAAATATTACATGTACACAGTATCAGATTTTATTATGTTAATGTTTTCACTATAACATTGATAACATTTTTCAAGATAATATTTATACCAGCAATATGTCATGTTGCTTTCAGGTTATAATATCTATCCTTATTAAAAAGATATTAATAACTTCTGGTATCAGGTTAAATTTCTCTTATAAATAAATCCAAACAATATCGGCCATGTTTGATTACCAAAATATCCTATATACTTGAATAAATTGTTTTACACTAATAAATTAAATTTATATTTATATAGACACCTTGATAGTCTTTTTTTTTTTTTTTTTTTTTTTTTTTTTTTTTAAACTTATAGTTAACCCAACAGGAAGAGGGTTTCTGAGTGAGGTTATAAGGGGAAGTAGGAAGTAAGGGTATTATGAGGAGGAGTAAGATATATATTGGTTGGTTGTCAGGAAAGTATTCCCTCAGGAGTTTGTTCCACTAAGTAACAGTTCTGGGGAAGAAGCTGAGTGTAACTTGCTTTTTATCAACAGAACACAGAATGTGGATGGTTTGCCAGCATGAACACAACATGGTGGGTCCACTGTTGTGAAGGTCTGAGCTGACATTACTAAGAAACGTAACTCGTCCAAATATCTGCCATAGTAATAACAATATATTAATGAAAGGCTAGGGACATTTTGTCTGGGATAATGGTTGTAGGATGGATGATAGTCCATCACCCACAAAGCCGTGTAAGCACTTTTGAACTCTGCCGTGTTTGGACAATGAGTATTTGGCAGCACCAGCCCAGATATGCAACAATACTCTATTCTTGAATAGCAGAAAAACATGATTTACACAGATAACAAATTAAAACCAAATTTATACAATTAGAAAACATATCTTTAAGTACACACCAATTTTCATCTAGCTAAATCACACACACTGCACTCTACTCAAGACAATTTTTAAAACAAACAAAATATATCAGAGTGCTGGCCATTATCAATGCAACCCTCACTTATATACACCACAAATTCTCTATTGAATTAATATCTGGAGAGACCAGGGGGCCATTCTATTAATTTTAAAATCCTTTTTCTGACTAGGTGGACAGTAATCACCTTTGTAGAATGCCTTACATGAATATAAACTTTAACTTTTTGGTTATAACCTGTAACACTCAAAAAACTGTCTTTAAGAATAGGTATCTTGGTCAGTTTGGGATACATACTAAGAACTTATTCTGCATTTATCATGCCAGTATCCTCAATTTTGATGGCACCTTACTGTTTACAATACTATGGCAAGCATTACTCAATCTTTCTATTGTTGTCTTCTAAGTTATTTTGGTTGACTATTTCTTTATAGGATCCAACTTTTACCCCCAGTCAATAAAGTTCATCCATTGTAGCTCTACGTTCATCACTAAAAATTACTGTTGTGAAATCTGTTTTCATCTGAAGCTTCAACCAACTTTCATGTTACTCTTTGTGATGTGTACTTAATGGTGCAATTTAGTTGCTTTCATATTTTTAGCCAATGTTCCTAATATTTTGCATCTTCCTCTCTGTTTATATTCACAGCATCACATTCTTAAAATATTCTCTTGCTTGTCAATTCACTTTTCTTGCTTGTTACCATTTTCATTTTTCTCGAATCCCATTTGTAAGATTCAGTTTTTTGTTTTTTTTTTCTTGCCAATGTTTTTATTTTCTCTTCTTTTTTTCATTGTTCTATGATCTCTATTCAACACTTGCAATGTCCAACAATGTGTTACTTTTACTCTATCACTGTAAAATATTGTATTTTTCTATCTTAAGGTTATATCTTTTTTACAACCCATGATTTTCTTTGTATATCTGAAATTAAAAAATATCAATGACTATACTATTATTTGTACTTATTTACAATATATTGAACAATGCTCTAATTACATAATAAACTCTCACACAATCAAATAAGTTAACATAAATATTTCTAATAAAAACAACTGAAAGTAATATGCTATAGTTATCATATATAAGTATCAATTTTACCAATATTAGTTCGTTAATACCAATTCCATTCTGAAAATATTGACATGCATAATAAAAATCTGATATATTGTATTCAAATCTATTCTGATTATCTACATTAATTACTACGAGGGGAATCCCTCTTAGAAAATACAGCATGGGCAAGTGCTACCGGTATAGATGTAATTCTTTAAGCTTTTAATGTATATCTTGTTGGATATGCTATATGTTATTTTTTTTTTTTTTTTTTTTAAATATTCATGTAATATCACATGTTGTTAAATATCATATTTCCTAAATACTTAAATTTAATATTTATTATTTAAAATTATTTTGAATTTTCTTTGCTAGTTAATTCTGAATGACATGAAAAAAAAACAGCAAAAACTTTTCATGTTATTAAAGGCACATTTTTAACTTGGACTATAATATATTTGGTTTGTAAGATCTTATAGTTAGTAGCATAATCTAAACTCAAATTTCTATGGTCTTTTAGACTTGTTTAGTTATATTTATTTGAACCTCTTTTTGTATTTAATAAGTCATTTCTGAAAGGAATCTGTTCTGTTATTCATTGTTTCAGAAAAACATGGTTAACAATCAAATGGATACTGGTGGTAATCTTGGAGCTGGTAATCTTGGAGCTGGTAATCTTCAATTTATGCACCATAATATGCAGCAACCATTACACCAACAACAACAACAGCAACAACAACTATTACAGCAACAGCAACAACAAAAAATATTAGAACCACAACAGCAACAACAAGTATTACAAAAACAACCTGGTCTTTTAAATGACCTTCAAAATGGTAATGCTATGGGTAGGATATTACATCAACCACCGAATAATCAGTTTGGCCTTGGACAGCAACAAGCCCAGATGGTAAGAAGTGCTATTCAGATTCTGAAAATGGAAATTAGTAAATAATTTAGCCAAATGATGAATATTTTTTTAAATTTACCATGACTATATTCTATATTCCATATCTGTATGTGTGAGAATACTAAGACGAAATAGAAATATGCATATTCTATATTCTTTGTAACTCAAAATTTGATCTTAACTAAAGAAAAAGAATAAAATTTTCAAAGCATAATATTGAATTTTTGAACAGAAAAATTTAACTTGATTTCCTGTCATGGTATCAATCACTTTAGCTTTGTTAATGTTGACTATGTATAATTACATACACATACCAGGTGTAACAGCAAAATTGTCCATTTGTTAGATTAAGCTTTGAATCGTACCTTAGAAATGATTAAGGATATCTTACTGGAATTCTCCGAGGTTTTGATAGCACTACTGGAGTCTATTTTGAGCTATAAGAATATATAATTACTCTCCAAGCTTAACAGAAGAATCATGATGAAATCAATCATAAAACAAAAATGACATGTTCATCATTAATTAATCATAGCTAAGAATCAAAATCTCATGAAAGATTGGAATTATATATATATATATATATATATATATATATATATATATATAATCCAGGATCATTCTCCAACTTATTCAAGATGATCTTCACCCTCTCTAACCTACTAACTTTCTGTCCTGGAGTAAAAAGGGGCCTCACAGGTTTCATGTATAATTTTATTTTCAAGACTTTTTTTCACTGCTTTTTGTACTGTCATAGCTGAAACTCCTCTCTCACATTCCAAACATTTTATGGATTGAGTTGGATCGTTCCTAATTGATTTCTTTAGCTCTAAGTTGAAATGATGATCCCTCTTCCTGTTGTGACCTCCTGATCCAATTTTCCTCTCTACTGTTCCCTCTTTTTTAAACTTATTCACTGTTCTCTTGATAGTTCTTGAATGGACTTTGAAGATGGAAACCCGAGTATGAATGTTGGTACCATTACTGAAGTCCTGAATGATTTTTTCCTCTCACCATTGCTCAGTTAAGAAAACACAAAGTGACTTTAACCTGTTCTCTTTCTAGCTAAATAACTCAAAGGGGTTTTCAGTGTCTCTTACGACAAATGGTGTCAAGATAGCTAAACATCTTATCTGAAAACCTGGAAAAAAAGAAACTCGATTAGTTTAGTGTTTTTTTTTTTTTTAGATATTAAACATTTCATGGGATGGACAATTTTGCTGTTACACCCGGTGTATATATATATATGTATGTGTGTGTGTGTGTTTTTATATATATATATAATATTACAGGTAATCAATTCATTGGTATATAAATCCAGATTGATCCTAGTAATATTAGTTATTAAAATTGATCCACAGAGAGCTCAATATATTTATTATAACAGAGCATGTGTATTTTTTACAGCAAAAAAACAAAAATTACCTCAACATTGAAGATAGTCTATCTTCAATGTTGAGGTAATTTTTGTTTTTTTGCTATAAAATATATATAGGCAGCATATTTTCATTCAAACATGTTTCATTATATAATATAGACATTGTGTCTATTTATTTTTATACTGATCTTTTTCCAGTTGTCTAATCAGTTTCTTGGTATCAAAATGAAATTCATTAGGGAAGATACCATAGTTTTTTTGTTTTGTTTTTTTTAACACAAGTACTTTTGACCTTTTCTAAGATCATCTTCAGGAATAAATGACAAACAAGCTATAAATAAAATCTGCATTCTGTTGTCATTGTAATTAATGATGGATTCATACCTAATCAACTATTTCTAACTAATACTATGAGTATCCTAATTTCTGTTACAAATAGGATTTATATTCAATAACTTGTATACGTTTCCCAATCTTGTTCTCTTCTGCCTTGTACTGAAATCATACTATGTAACAATTATATAAAACTGTTTCTTGAAGACATTTTACCTTGATTTAATCTTCAATAATTCTTGTAATTTTTTCCAGTAGCATGTATGAGAGTGGAATGAACAAAACCCAAGGCTCAAAATAATTGTTCAACAGCTTTTATTTCTGGTTAAAAAAGAGAGTGCAAAGTAGTAGTATTTTGCTGGGGGAAAATAGGGTTTCCTGGTTAACAAAGTTTTTCAGTAGATGTTTTGAGAGAGATTTCTCCACTTGATCCCACAGAAGGAACCAGAAATCTGAGTGTGAAATTGTTAGGACTGGTATGAGTCTTCTGCAACAAGGGTTGGGTAGTTATCTCAAAGAGATTTCTCAATTGGCTATATATTTTATAGTTATTATATTCTTTACCTGTTTTATAGTCTACTGCATCCAGATAAGATGTAATAGTGCATATCTTAATTCTATGTTGTGTGTAAACTTTTATTTCTTTCGATTGATTTTATCATTCATGTTTTTCTGTTTCCTTTTTAAGTTGGATATCACAGAATTGATTTGTTTTCTTCTTTCTCAGGCCAATGCAGGAAATCTACCCAAAGTAAAAGATACTCATATTGGATTACCAGGAAAGCAAGAATTACATGTGGATCAAGAACATTTTCAGATTCCCCCAGGTAGATCATCGATAAAACAATGTTGTTATTTTTATTCCTATCTTCTTTTCTTTCTTTTTTTCTTTCTTTCTTTCTTTTTTTTTTTTTTTTTTTTTTTTATAGTTTTCATGCTTTCAGAAGAAAAAAGTACTTGAGTATTTAATTATGTTTGCATATAATTACGCCTCTGTCCTGGTGTGTTACACAGGATGATTTCATTTTTATTTTCTGTTGCTGCTGTAATCAAGTATTAACTAAAGTAATAAAACTAAAACTATTAAGTTCTAGAAAAAAGCTTCCATGCTTCTCAATTAGATGGGTAAAAAAAAAATTGTGCCATGTCCCTTTTAAGACATGGGTGATTGTGGCTCTCCACAACTTACTGTCATTTGTCACCTCGTAGTCTTTGTTCCCAATCATTTACACAAGTTCATTAAGTAGGTTAGTTGCTGCCTCCCTCTTGCCTTCAGTATGTTACATTCTCCAAGCCCTCTTTCCTCATGTGTCCTAGAAATTTCAACTGTTTCTTTCTAAGTGTCTTTTTTGTTCTTATTTTCTTTAAAACTTCATTGTTGCTCAGTTGCTCTGCTCATGCTATTCTCAGCATCTATCTATAGAAACTCCTCGATTGCCACAAGTCTCCTTCATCTGTGAGGAGATTGCCCAGCATTCACTGCCATATGGAAGGATTAATATTACAGTGCAGTTCAGCAGTCTTTTCTAACAAAATTTTCCTGTTTCATTTAGATTCTTTTAAATAATGTTTATAAAACAATTACTATCAGGATTAAACAATTGTTTCAAATATGCTTGTAAATGCAAAACACAATATTTCTGTATTTTTGATTTGCAATATATAACTTACATATTGAGAGTTAAAACTCAGTAAAATAAATTTTCAGCTAAAAATTACAATATTCAGTGGTTAATTTCATTTTTTTTTTCTGTGCCACCAAAAATACGTAGTTTGTTACTAGTACAGAAAAGAGTGACAGCAAAATCCTGTTCTCTACTGCCAAAATTTACTTTGTTGCTTTAAATGCTTCATTTTTGTTGAGCTTTGATATCATAAACAGCCATTGTTTGTCTAATTTTTTACATGCTCTAGATGATTTGTTTAGCTTTTTGTTGTTCAGTATTCACTTCTTAAACCTACTACCTGAGGAATAATTGATTCATGTTCATACAGGTGGAAATCAATATTTGTACCAAGAGTTGCATTACACCTGGAGATGTAAAAAAAAAATTGTGTGTGTGTACTTTTTTTATTAAGATAAATTAATATAGATAATGTTATTAAAAAAAAAGTACAACATTCACATATTTTTAGATAAACTTTGTCAGTATCTTAAAAGATACCGATATACATTCTTTTTTACAAAAAGAATTATCTTGCTGTATCTATTTTTGTTACAGTGAAAAATAAATTTGATGTGAATGTTGTATTGTGATATTAAGATGACCTTTGATAAAAGAAAGCTAAAGAAATCCCAAGGACATACTAGTGTGTCAGTCAAAATGGAGTCCTATAACCCTCCCCTTTTGTTCATTATCCAAATGAAAATAACTTATATAGTTCACTATTTACTTTTCTTTATTTTTTTAAAATATAGTTCATTATTTACTTTTCTTCTTTATTTTTTTAAATTTTTTTGCGTGACTAAATTTTAATAATTTATCTATAACTTTTTTTAAATAAATTAGTTTTAATAAATAAAAATTATAATAAATATAAGTTCACTTTTCAAAATTTGAATAATTCAGATACTAAATAATGAATATTCTCAATTTCTTTGTCATATTTCTTTAACTAGGTTCATTAGTTGCTTTAACAAAATCTTTCATTTACAAAATTATACCAAGAATTTTAATGTTTGTTGACAATTATTTTATTCTTAAATTATTTATATGCACACTATTGTCTTTATCTTCATTGTTTTTATCCCATTTGTTCGGCTGTTGTACCCTCTAGCTTTCATCAGGTGTGTCTCAATCTGGATAACCTTCAGGGAATTTTAAACTGAATTCTTTATTAAATCTACAGGGTTAGATTCTTCTCATTCCACTGCCCATGTCTTTGGATATTTCATCGTTCTTAGTACAACTCCATTTGTGATAACTGAATCCAAGTATACAATTCCCATTTCAGGGATTGAACTCACAATTACTATGTCACATATGGGATAATAGCCTAGTGGTTTGTGAATTTGGTAATTGTGAGTTCAATTCCTGGGATATTCAGTGTGTACTTGGACTCTGTGGAAACTGGGTGAGCAATAACTGAGCAGTGCCAAATAAGAACTAAAAGAGATATCTTTGTCAGGTTATGTTCTTAAATAATCTTATCAGACCTTCATATAGATGTCATACACAGCACCAATGAGAAATAACTAAACTGTCAACTGTATACAACCACTTTCTCAGATCATTGGTTAAAAATGGCTTTGAGCAAGTGAAGTCTGTTGATTTTGGCAAAGATCATCTTTCTTCAAACATTGTAGACTGGCCCTACAGAATGGTACAAAGAACTGTACCAAATAACAGAAACCACATCATTTGGAGACATTCAAAAGCAGCAACAGCTAAAATGGATATCACATGTAACTGAAAAAGAAAATAGTGACATAATCACAATATTGACATTCCACACTACCTTAAATAAAATGTTAGGAAGGAAACTCCCATCAGTATTGGAAAGAGCAATAACAGCTACTGGACTTGATAAACCTATTTTCCTGAAAAATTGTTTGAAGGTCAAGATTTTATAAATTTTGACCCGCAGCTGCTTGGTCAATAAATGCCAAATGTTTTATTTTATAAGAAAACTGTTTATATTGCCAGATATATATCTTTATATATATATTGGAAACATTTGAAATTTGTTTGGTGTTAATAATTTGCATTTTTTACATAGTATAAATAAATGATATCATAATAAATTAAATAAACTTGAGACAGATAAGCAATATATTTGCAAATTTTTAAGTCCAATAGATAAGTCTATAATTATATGCTTATAGGTCTGTTATTAATCCATGCATTGAATATGTATCTGGCCTGGTGCTTCTGTGTATTTAGAGATTCTTGATAAAATACAAAGAACAATCTGTTATGTTAATGGTCCTGATCTGGCATCTTGGTTTCAATCACTTTCCCATCACCTTAACATAGCTTCCCTGTGCCTTTTCTATAAATATGTATATGGTAATTGTTCTGATGAACTTTCCTCTTTGATAACTAGACTTTATGAATTTAAGCATAGTACTAAATTGTCAGCAAAGTCTCATTTTACAGTTGAAATGGCTAGATGTAACTGTAAGTTCTATGCTAACAGTTTGTTCTCTTGCACTTGTTGCTTGTGAAACTCTCTCCCAACGCCTTGCTTTTCAGTCAACTTTGATCTTCAAAAATTAATCTTCTGTCTTCTTAATTCTTGTTCTCTCTCCTTAATAATATTTTCTTTTTCTCATGTTCTCTCTCACTCTGTAACTCCTTGCATCTTAGTGGTTTTATTACCTTACTTAGGGTGAAATTATTAAAAAAAAAAAAAAAACAAGTCTTTTGAACTTTTTTTATCTATTGTTGCTTTATTTTTTAATATTGAGTTCTTTATTTCCAAAAATAGGCAAATTTTTAAATGTGTGTTAAACACTGGACTGTTTGTTTTGTTAGATATTAACAATCTGTTATATATATATATATATATATATATATATATATATATATATATGTGTGTGTATATATATATATATAAAATGCGTTGTCCTGAATTTGTGTTCAAGCATGAAACTGACTGTTATCCCTAGATGTTGACCTCTGTGTCAAATTTTATATTTACATATTCTCTACCCCTGATATTGAGCAATTTTACCTATAAATATAGCATAGTTTAAAACTATATTTTAATCAGATATATATCTGATTTTTTTCCTATTTCAAAAATCAAATCCCACTTCAAAGGAACAAGATTTCAAGACGTCGATGAAATCCAAAAGAATGTAGCAATACTCTAGATAAAGTGTGTGGCTTCGAAGGAGATTAAAAGCCAAATTGATATGTGCTGTAGTTTTCTTTTTATCGCACCAGTCCCAATCAGACTCTGTCTGTGTGTGTGTATATATATATATATATATATATATATATATATATATATATATATATATAAGTTATGAAGACCTTGGTAATCCGTATGGTTAATCTCAAGGAGGATGAAATCCTGAGTGCTCAATGTTTACAAATTGCATTCATCAATTAGATTTAAAGATGTTACCCTAACTATTTTTTACAATATTAAAAATGTCTGATCAGTCGGGTAAACAAACTGCTATAATTTAAAATATTTTTTTAATATGTTCTCTATATATGTGTTAATAAATATAGTATTTAACTTATATTAAATCCCTAAACTAATTGTTTTAAAAAAATTAAATTGATAGCAAACATCAAATTTATTCTTTTTTTTTTTTTTTTTAGACGTCTAAATTACTATCAAGCATTAAAATCTATTCTTTACATAAATTGCTAAAACCCAATTACAGCCTCTTTCTCTTTACTTCCCTCTCTCTCTCTCCTTTCTTTTTCCTTTTTCTTTTCTCCCTTCTCCTCTCCCATTTCAATATATCACTTCCGTTAAGTTAACCGTCTAAATAGGTCATGGTCTGGTCACTCCTCCTCCCCCAATACAAAGTATGCTTGAGAGAGATATGAAATTAATCCCTCCCTATACTCTACCATGTCTCTTTAATTACCCCTTTTACACTCTGTTAAATTACAAAAACTTACACTACCCATCAATTTTAGTTTCATTTTTCGTTTCATTTCATTTTTGGAAGTGCTATCTGATGATCCGGCGTCCTTTAAAAGGGCTCTGGTGAAATAAATTATTATAATAGTACCTTAAAGTGGTCTGTTTTTCTTTTGAATAATATATATATATATATATATATATATATATATATATGAGAAATGGATAAAAATATTCAAAATATTTTTATCTATTTCTCAGACTCTAATGCCCATATGATGTCAGTTTTTGTATGTTAATAAGCATAAAAAAAATATAAAACTCAATTTTCAGAACAATAGGTTAAATACAACAAATGTGACAGGCAAATTATGCAAATAGGAAATGACAAAATTATTCATACAGTATGAAAAATAGAAAAAAATTTAACTATTTTCACAATATTAATAGACAATAGCATGGCCCCTCATCTTTATAATTTGCTGCAATCATTTTCTAAAGTTTTTGGTGACCAATGATTTATTCGAAATTTCAATTCTTGTCATAGATTTTCAATAGGATTCAATCAAGACTCATTAAATGCCATGGCAGATCTGTAATCTTCTTTTTCTGAAACCACACAGTCACTGATTTAGATGTATGTTTGGGATCATTATCTTGCTGGGAAGTAAATGAAGGTTTTGCGCTGATAGTTGTAGATTTTAATCCAGAATTTTGATATAGTCTTCAGATTTCGTTATTCCTCTTATTGCAATTAATTGTCCAGTCCCCCTTAAGCTAAAACAACCCCAAAACATCATCAAGCCACCTCCATGTTTTAATGTTGCCACTGTGTTCTTTGGGAGGAAAGCTTCACCTTTATTGCACCAAATATTCTCTACACCATTATATGCAAAAAGCTCAATTTTTGTTTCATTGCTCCATAGTACTTGTTCCCAAAAGCAATTTTCTTTGTTCAAGAACATTTTAACAAAATTAAACCGAGCAACAATGTGAAATGGTTTATGAAGAGGTGTTCATCTTGATCAGTTTCCATACAACCCATTTCTATTTAAACAACGTTGTATTGTGTGAGTATTTACACTGATACCCATTGTATCCAAACTTTTGGCAATGTCATAGAAACAACTCTTGGGTTTATATTAACCTCACGACACAGTTTTTGTGCAGTTCTCGGTGATAATTTGGGTTTTCTTCAACACCCAGGCAAATTCTCTGTTGTGCCAAACTGTCTCAACTTCTTTATAATGGACTGTACTGTAGATCTAGGGATAGCTAACCGGTTTGAAATAGTACTGTAACTATTTCCTGACTTGTGGAAGTTATAATTATCTGTCTCAAGTCAATGCTAAGCTCCTTTGTTTTCTCCCATTGTGTTAACATTAGAATAACAGTGGTAACACACTATGCACCATGTGATGTTCATTGCTGGAATTATCACAAAAATTCTACTGAATAAAAAGTCTAGAAAGCTTCCCTGATAAAATAATTATGATATTTTCTCTTGTAGGAATAATTTTGACTTTTCCTGTTTTGCATAATTCGTCTGTCAAATTTGTTGTATTTAACCTATTGTTCTGAAAATTGACTTTTATATTCCTTTTTTCATGCTTATTAACATATAAAAAACCTGGCATCATACAGGCATTAGTTTGAGAAATAGATAAAAATATTCAAAATTGATGGGTGTAAGAATAATTTCATTGTTGGCTATATATATATATATATATATATATATATATATATGGCAATACATCTCTCACAAATCACATGCGATGTCCTTATGCCATATGTGATATAAAATGGGATGACAGGGGTCAAGAATAGTGCAATACTGAAGAAATGTAACAACACCACAGGCATTGAAACCATTCTAACAAAGATATAACTTAGGTGGACTGGTCATGTTGTGAGAATGGATGAGTAAAAGCTACCAAAAAAAGGTGCTGTATGGAGAACTACCAAACTCCAAGCATTCAGTTAGAAGTCCACTCTTATGATACAAAGACAAATTGAGACAACTGGAAACATCTCAACTTTGATCTGAAAACCAAAAAGAGTGGTGTAAACATGTTTCATTAAGTTAAAGGGTTTTGAAGACAGTAGACTGAAGCACCATGATCAGCTTCATCAAGCTCTGAAGCAGACATGCCATCAAAATCCTGTTTTAACAAATTTCATCAGTCAGTGTGACTTTGTTACCCACATCAAGGCTGAGCTAGTATCACACTTAAGGAAGCACAAATGAAATATGTCTTTCCCTTACTTAATTTTTTTCAAAATAGTCCCTACTAGTATGCATAAGTGTAAAACGAAAGGCACCATCCACTGCTGACTCTCATTTATTATTCATGATAGGAGAGTCCATCATATATATATATATATATATATATATATATATATATATATATATATATTTTTCAGATAGAATATATCTGTAAAAAGACATTATAAATAAAGACATAAGGAAAACTTATCTTAACCAACATGTTTTATCCTCTGAGGGACTTTATCAAACAAATGCAAAGATTTTATTTTGTGACAAGTATTTATATACAAGAGCAAAAATATTATTGGTTTTCCAAATTTTTTAATTTAAAAATGCTCATAAATATATATCAGGTGATATTTTATTTCTCAAAATTTCAGCTGACTTAGACCATGATGCTGCAGGAAACGTAAAGGCCAACAATGGAAAAGACCTTGATTTGCAGAAGCAAGAAGCAGAGCAGCGAAAACAACAGCATGAGAATGAACATAACCAAGTTCAGCCACCCATAGATAATGAAGACTTAGAGGTAAGTTCTTTCTATTTGAATGTATTATGCATCTTGGGGACAGCTCTTTTTATCTGCCATCTGCAGACATGCACTTTATATTTTCTGTTTTCACAAACTTCCTACTTTATATTCAAATCAAGTATTCTATTTAAGTCACTCTTTGTCACAGAGATTGGAAAAAATACACTGACCTTCATATTGTTCCTAAAGTATTTTTATAACTTGTCATCTTACAGGTTTTACTAAGGAAATGACTTTGATCAAAATTAAGACATTCTGAAATATGGTTTTATATTGTGACCAATTAAAATATGTAATACTGAGAATAGTATTTAAATGTTACAGAATTAAATCACTTAACTGCTGTTCACATTTTGGTCCATCGCTAATAACACTGGTTTACAAGAAAAAACAATTCTCTGAAGCAAGCATGTGAACAAGTGTTTTATACTAATTTTTATATGGTGAATACAGATTTTTGAACGGTTTTGCTCTATCACCTAGTTTTTTTTGTTGTTTTTTTTTTTACTTTCACGTATCGTGTTTATTATACTGCATATAAATTGAATATATAGTGTGTTTATTTTATCTATTACAAAGCATATTATAAAAAAATAGCATAGATAGAGAGCATTGACAGAACTAAATTACTTGGATAATACTATACATACACGTCATAGTACAGCAGACAGAAGTGAGTTTTTGGGGCATTCTCATGTACTTTGCATCCGGTATGTCACACATCCAGTAGAATTCTCCCATCATTCTAGAGTTCCACTTACCTTGGTAGTTTCTTTCCATCTTAGTATATCTTGGTTGACCCTTTCTCCATGCTAATCACTCACCTCTGAGATTCAGAGGGAAGAAGTTAAATATGGGAGTGGTGAAAGCGAATTTTGAGTGACATTCAGCATCCCATATTCTCATAAACCTGTAACAACTTCTTGATGCACTCTTCATAATCTGGTACCTGTGCATTACCACAAAATAGGGGAAGTCCTTGTTTTGTGTCCTGAAACTGGTGATCCTTACAGGTGCCTAGACCAGGTTCTACTGCTTATGCCAGGCGCTCTGACAGCTGCTTAGATAACTACAAATCACAGGCAAGGTCATTCAGGTATTCCTAAGTGATCCAGTGGTGTTCACTCTTGCTTGATCCTGAACAAACATGGGTATTGTCTTCAGAAGAGACTGATTTGGAAAATTTTCCTCTGAAGGCAATTTTTTATATGATGATGGAATAAGATCTTTGTGCTGGGGATCTAAGGACAAGGAGATCATCTGATTGAGGAATACGTCTCATAGCTGAAGGAAGGTTAGAATTTTTATTTTTTGTTAGACAAAAATAACAGTCATCTGGCATGGCTTCATTGCTCTCTCCAAGTTGAAAAGTTGAAGGCTGCTTTCTTGTCATTAAACTCTGCAATGAGTCCATTGTAACAGGGTTTACAACAGATGTGTGAGGCCAAGGATTTGTTTTGATCTCCAATTTTACTGTCAAAATAATGAAAGTAAGCAGTTCTCAGAAGAAGAGTAATTGTTTGCTGTGTGCAATATCCACATACATAAAAGAATGAATTTGCATCATTGATGCATCCTTGGTGTTTTAAAGTGACAAGCTATTGTATAGATATGTATTACTCACAAAAATATGGAAAAACAACATAAACATTGATCATATATGTGGCAACATCCATGCATAACAAGCGTTTTAATATAAAGAGGATTTAATTTAATTTTGCTGCAATGAAACTTAGCCCACAGGGCCAAATGTAGGTCGCCAAAGTCATCCTTTATGTAATTTATTTAAAAAAAAAAAAAAAAATACATTTCCTAAAATTTAAAATTAAAAAAGTAAATAGGACATAACTAGTAGCCTTGAATGCATATACATGTATACATTTTATGTCTGTGTATATTTCAAAAACTAAAAGTGATGAATGAAAACTTATTTCATATCTGAAGTCAGAACCCAAAAATTAGGTTGGAACATATGTAATACTAAGAATAGTGTTTTAATGTTACAGAATGAAATCACTTAACTGCTGTTCACATTTTGGGCCATGGTCCATCACTAATAATCATTCAAATCTGTCAAGTTTTATTCTCTCTTTGTTAAGTGACACAATTATATAGATAAACCAGATAAAAAGATAGTTGTAGTGTTCAAAAAGAATTTTAAAGATATCCTTGTTGTTTCATATTTAACTGCATTATACATATAATCAGGTGACAATTGTCAGAATGTAAAATGTTGACATTAAAAACTAGAAAGAACCAACTTCCCCATAAGAAACAATTCAGATATTTAATTGAAGTAGACTGATTCACTTATTGTCCAGTTCATATTCCTCCCTGGTCTTTTTAACAGGAGTATAGGTTTATCCCTTATTCCCTGTTTAGGATTTGGTTTCCAGTTCCTTCTCAAATCATTTCATTCTCTTTCACTCCCAGTAGCCCATTGCATCTTAGTGGCATTTTTATCTAGCTTGGGGTGAATTGATTTAAGAAAAAATATTAAAGATATATATTTTTGTTCATTGATAATAATCAAAACAAGTTTTATTATATGAAAAATTGAAAGTATTTTAAATTTGCCTGTTAAAATGCTGTTATATATTAAAATATATAATAAAGAATATTTTCCTAACCAAGTATAAATTTCACAATCTTGATGTCCCTTGTATATATAACTTCCCATTTTAAATCCTTAGCTTTTCTTCCTTTGTTATGGATTTGTACTTTAGATAATCATTGACAACAACAAAAAATTAGTTGAACACAAATGAAATGAATTCTTACATGCTTTATATATTTTCATATATTATAAATATTGCTTATTGGCCTTTTAAACATTTCTGGCTGGTGATTGTCTGCTGCAAAGATCATGAATAAAGAAACCTGAAAGTGGAAAAAAAAAACATTTGTGAAAATGCAAGGGATCTATGGGAAAATATTGACTAAATTAATATTAAATTTGAGCACACTCAGCTTTGCCTACAGCCTTTGTTTAGTAGATAAGATATTTTCTCTGTTTTGAGTATAATTAAAAAAAAAATTTTTTTAAACACAGTTACCTCCCTTAACTTTATTAAGATGACAGGTCCTGATTCATTATCTGATTATTTTTTTTTTGTTGTATTAGTAAAAAAAAAAAAAATAATCATCAACTGCAAAAAACAGAAAGTATTAGAGATATAAACATCGAACAGGTTCAGAAGTTAAAATATCTGGGAAGCGTTTTAACAAATGATGGAAAATGCAATACGAATATACATGGACTAGTGAAAGAAGCATTCCAAAAGTTAAGCAGGGTGTTGAGAAACAGAAAATTTTCATTAGAAACAAAGCAAAGAGTGTTCGATTCCTATATGATATCCATCCTATCTCCCCATAGATTCTAGAAAAATCTAGAAGCAGCAGAAATGTGGTTCTGCAGAAGGATACTGAAAATTTTTTGGATGGAGTAAGCAACCAGAAAGTCTTAAAGAAAATGGCAACAAAAAAAACACTTATACTTAAAATTGAGAAGAAAGCTGAAATTTCTTGGAAACATAATGAGGAAGAAGAGCTTGGAAAAATTAAACCTCACAAGGTATATTTAGGGCAAGCGAGATAGGGGAAGGTAGCAAGCCAATTACCTGATGAGTTTATGTGAATGGATGGTGGAACAGGGGTGGGGACCTTAGCAAAGAGAGAAAAGCTGCTAAGCATCATATCAGATAGGAAGTTGTGGAAAGCCATGACTTCCTATGTCTTGAAGAGACGCAGCACAGAAAATAGTAGTATTGTAAATTTACTTTGACCTTAAAATTGGGTGGGATTTGTAATTCAACTACAGTTGGTATGACTTGAATAAATCCTGGAACTTGCTATTGTCTTTGAATCAGATTATGTTTCTGTACAAGAGGAAGTCCTTCAGAAGAAGCGTCCTGGGTATGACAATAAACTACATCTAGCAGCAGAGCCTCTGATTGGGAGGTTTTGAGGAACATGGAACCACCTCTTAATTACTGTCATTCCCAGGTTCACTCTGACCCAGGGTGATAGCACTTATTAGGGTCCGAGCTATGGGTAAATAGTTACCCCCCACACACACACACACACACTGGGGTCAAAACATGATTTTTATAGTAAAAATTACTAGCAATACATCTTTGTAAAAGAAATTACCAATGCTCCCAAGAAAATTAAATTTTGGCACTGAACAACCCATAAGAAATTGATATGCTACTAAACAAACAAGCTTCAAAAGAAAACTTGAAATACTGTCTTTTTTGTAAATAAATAAATAGCTATTTAAGATTCAGTTATTGAAGTATTTTCTTTTCTTTTTTCATTTGACTGCCACCCCAGATAACGCATCTTACAAGTTTCCTCTTTAATAGAGATATTAATTATTGTTTTATAACACTATATGAGAAATTAAATAACATCACAATGTGTTGATAATGTAGTCAATGTTGATTGCTTGAAAATGCATTTTGGGGGAAATCTATAATACCTTTATTGATTATTATTTCTTACTCATTATCTTCTGCAGACAGTCTAAGTAAGTTTTGCTTTCTGGAAGGGTTTGGTTTGGAATCTAGTAATATGTAGGATTTTTTTCTCAATTTAAACCTGTATATTGAACCTGATTGAGAATGGGGGCATGTAACCTTATTTTCCCATCTGGTTAAAATCCTCTTTGAAAACTTCCCAATAAACTGAAAGGCTTTTTTGCTAATTGAATATTTTTTTGACACACCACTTCAACAAAGTTATTCAATATGTTTTACTGAAGTAATTTTTCCAGTCTCTGTATTTACCACTTAATATCTTCAGTCCTGCCTATTTCTGCAAGTTGCCATGGTTCCATTTTCATACTCGTGAATTTTGCTTGCACATATGCTTCAATGAATGAATATTGTTTGTTTCACTTAAAACTATTTGTTTAGCATTTACAGACATACATTAAAATAAGAAAAATTAAGGAGAGTTTTATAACGAAACAAATTCTACAAATGTTGTCCTTT